GCTAATGCGCTCCTGGCTGTAATCCTATACACAGGGCCATGATCCACAGTATGTGCTTGAGCCTGCGCTGGTCTTCTGGCACTGGGTGTGAAGTAGCCATACAGATATGGCTACAATGAGACCAAACAGAACGCTTCTAAGGTCTTGTACCTGATGTGGGGAGGAACATTGGAGTGGACTCCCAGTGAAAGGGTCAAGATGCTCTTAAGTGATGAGTTGTGAGACCCAAGAGTCTGCAGAGAAGGGAGTTGAGTCTCAATTATCCCCGCTCATAGAACCCACTAAATATCGAGGGATGTAGCCTGGGGCCCCTGGCGGTGTCCCAGAAGATTAAATTGTGATGTTTCCTCCTTCATGTCACATAAGGACCTCTAAGCTACACATGGATGTCTCTTGAGATTTCAATTAAGGGGACAGGAGGCGGCAAGAACACTGGATGTCTGTCAAGATCAACAGGTTTACAGTACTGCTGAAAATGTATATTTGTCCTCAAAACAAAAAACAAATGCAGCCACCATATCTAGGAAATGTTAAGCTGCGAAATATTCAATTTCTGTTCTATAGGAGACTTTGTAGAATAACAAAATGGCTTGGCTGATCTTACTGCCTGCGTACTTCTCTACCGGTCTTCTAGTGGTGACTTCATGGTTTGAGCTTGGCTTTTTTTTTGGCTTTATTTAAGATCTCCAAGAGACCTTCACTTGTTACACACTTCCTGTCCTTCTGTGTTTTTTTTATCAGTTGTCATTATAGTATCTAAGGGGGAATCGTACTCTTCACATTGGTATCTCCCAGCTACGTGACAGAGTGGCAGTGCACCTCCTAGAACTCCCTCATATTGTACTAAAAGTGAATGCAAGCCCCCCGCAGATCCTGCTGAGACCCTGATGGGCCTATATGGAAGGAAAGGAGATGGCACTGACAAGGTTTATAAACCTCCCTAATTCTACCCAAAACTAACAATAACTTTTAGCTTTAGTTCTACTTTAATGCCGGTGGAAGGGGAAAATTGTATGGTCACATATCCCTCCCTGTGTGCTTCTCTACCCATCTTCTCATGATGACTTCATGGTTTGAGCTTGGCTTTTTTTCTCTTTATATGAGATCCCAAAGAGACCTTCCCTTGTTAAAAACACAGAAGGACAGGAAGTGTGTATCAGTTGTCATTATGGTATCTAAGGGGGAATCGTACTCTTCACATTGGTATCTCCCAGCTACGTGACAGAGTGGCAGTGCACCTCCTAGAACTCCCTCATATTGTACTAAAAGTGAATGCAATTCTGATTTCCATTGAAGTCCTGAGTCAGCTCTGCCCGTGTATCATGTCACTCCACCCCTTACATGCAGCTACATATTTAAGTCCTATATTTAATTTCAGAAAGCATTTCCTGTCTGAGAGCGAAGGAATGAACTGATATATTTCATCACCTGGAGTCACCAAACCAGCACATTACAGGTGAGGTCTACTATCTTGTCTTTGACTTGTATAGTATATTGTAATGTATACTATGATAGAACCCAATGCATGAGGCTGGTGAGCCAGAATTCTATATGATCCGGGCACTGCAGGTTATTGAAGTGCGGTATATCCCAGAATAGAGATACCAGAACACAGCATTTCAATCAAACTGTCCATTTTATTTACAGTTACAAAGTTACATAGTATTTGAGGTTGAATAAAGACATAAGTCCATCAAGTCCAACCTATTAGGATCTCATTCTAGTAGTACCTGTACCCCTGTATATTACCTGTACCCCCATATATTACCTGTACCCCCGTATATTCATTGGAAGATGGAAGTAAAATCTTATAAACTGGAATGGGGGGGAAGCTGGGGAATCATGAGGGTTACTACTGCAGACTGCACATTATTATTTTTTAATTCATTTAATTAATTACTTAAAGGGTCAGTCCATCCAAATCTGGCGTTTCAGGGGGTGCTGTGCTGGCTCTAGTCTTCAGCTACTTGGGCAGCACAGTGGCTAGCACGGGGGGTCCCCGGTTCGAATCCCAGTCTGGACACTGCCTGCAAGGAGTTTGCATGCTCTCCCTGTGCTTGCGTGGGTTTCCACCGAGTACTCCGGATTCGTCCCACACTCCAAAGACACGCTGGAAGGTTAATCGGCTCCTGTGTATGCATGTGAGACAGGCACCTTAGATTGTAAGCTCCTTGAGGGCAGGGACTGATGTGAATGTGCAACTATGTAAAGCGCTGCGTAAATTGTACCATACAGGTGTCATTTTGGCTTGATTCTTTCTGGGGCTCCTGTGGTGAGATGTGTGCATGGAATAGAAATACCAAAACACAGCATTTCACTGAAACTGCGATTTTTAGAAGGAGGCGTTTAGCTCATTAGTTGATGTGGATATTAGCATTGGAAGATGAGTGTAAAATCTTATATATTGGAATGGGGAAAGCTGGCAAATCATGGGGGGTTACTGCTGCAAATTGTTATATTTTAATTCATGTATTTAATTACTTAAAGGTTCAATCCTGAATCTGGTATTTCAGGAGGCGTGTGCTGGCTTTGATCTTCAGACAGTTACAGATGCAGGTTTGGCTTGTTTCTTTGTGGGACTCCTGCGGTGTGATGTGTGCATGGGACCGATAATTGATATTAAAATCATAAAAATCGTTTTATTTGCTCGGTTTGTCTGCCAAGTGGAGTGAATCATAGATCCACTGTAAACATTAGGGATGCACCGATACTTTTCGAGTATTAGTGCCGATACTTTGGCATTTTCCTGAGAACTCCCAGGGTTGCAGCGGTTGCAGCTGGGACCGGGCTCTGGTGCTCCACCGCTGTCCTGAAATCATTAGTCTGTATTGTTTTAGAAAAACTGTCACATGACAATAAACAAAAATGTATCAGTACTCGTACTCGCAACAATGGTATCGGTGCATCCCTAATATATATTTATAAAAACAAAATCATACATTATAACAGAGATGTACAAATCCCGGGAGCTCCGTGTGCTGCTTACACATGACAGCCACCTCCTAACTTTTGAATTACTTCTATAGTCTGGTCTTGGAGCTCAAAAAGTATCTGTACTGAGTACTGTATTTGGTATCGGTGCATCCCTAGTAAACATCCAAATGTAATTAATCTGGGTTTGATTTAAAATCACTAATAAAAGTGGGCACCCCCCTGTTCTAACCCCTCTTAGGCTCTCAACCATCTTAGACACGTCCAGTAAATATCAACCTTGAATAAGAGGTCTGATAGAGGTTCCTCAGACAGTGAAGAGAAAAACATTTCCCTTCTTGTTAGCATTTCCATAAACTTTTATCACATTCAATTCTTTTATAAACCTTCTCGGCCTGTGCTGAGAAGATCATCGCTTCCATGTCTGGGTCCAAGCAATCCCTAAGATCTTTTTAATGAGAGTAATACTCAATCACCTCCAAAAGCTTTCATATTTCTCAACGAGGATCGCCCCATCATAAATCCTGGCTGATTTCCATGTGTGAGGTTTCCAATTACATTCTTTAACCATTTTGCCACAACAATCGTTAAAATATTTAAAGGAGAACTATGAGGTGACTCATTTACACTCATCCTAATAGTTAGAGCCGACGCGTGACACTGTCAACTCTATTGATCAGGAAATGAGCGCACAGATACCGTTGCTCGCTCACTTCCCGATCATCTCCCTGCAGTGAGTCACCGCTCCCCGCAGGGATTCCCTCTCTCCGATCCTCCAGCGCTGACTGGAAGCACGGG